ATGTTCTTTTAAATTTCTCTAATAGTGGGGTTCTCTCTAATAGTGGGGTCGTCTGGAAGGGGATTGAAAAAATAGTGGGGGACCCCACTAATAGAGTAAATACGGTATTCGAGGATAATATTGGCCTAGTGAAAATAAGTGAATTTCAAAAAGATGACCGTCTTCTGATGCTAAGATAAAAGCTACAAATGGGTATTCTCCCTCAAAAATCCCCACTTTTCACGCGTTTTCTGAAATCGACGGCCCAGCAGTGATTAAACGACTCTCGTTAAAACATAGGCATTAAAGAGGTCAAAACAAATTATTAGAAATAAAAAGTAAAAGGATTTATGGTGAAATAAAGAAGTCACATTACATGTATAGCTATAGATGGATTTTGGTCTCAATTCGATACATGAAATTTTCAAAAAAACCAACTTTGTGCCAATGTGTGACCCCTGAGACAAAATCAATTCTGACACCACGATATGCGATCAAAGAGCGCAAATTGATGTGATTCAGCGCAAAAGAAATTTTCAGGTGCGCAAAGTGGGCTACTTTTTTTATGGAAAACCCTGTATACTTGCTGCCCCTTTCATTAAAAAGCAAAGTAGTGTTTTGATGAACGATTTATGATGTACCTGATCGGATCATTTATACAAAAAGTATACAGAAGGTTTAGGGATAATTTCTTAATTTTTGATAGAACCCAAAGATAGCTCCTTTTTATCCCGAAGCCGCGGCTGTAGTGGTGGTGGTGGTGGTCGAACCCTTGGCCGTCATTGTCGTAGTGGCTGAGAATTATTCTCACTATTATCGTATAACTCTTTCAGCCGTGAAGAGCAGTAAATTGAGAGGGAGGTAGTCACATGAGCGCCAAAAATTGACCGCCTTTCATTTCAGCCGTTTATTTCAGCGCCGTCCATTTGAGCACGGCTCATATCAGTACGCGTTCATGTCAGCGCTGCGCCAAAAGGAAAAGCGGAAAAGCGGAAAAGCGTTAAGTTGCGTAGTTTTTGCCTTTTAGCCCAAATTTGACGTATCAGCGAGGTCTGCTTTGTCGAAATTCGGAATCTACGCATACGATTCCCTTCTATAAAAACATTTTTGAAGCTCTACGACCTTTCCTAAGGCCTTTTCCACCAAAAAAAAAGGTGCGCAAATGTCCAGGTGCGCAAAAAAAAGGTCGCATTTGTCCCACTCCCCAAATTTACACATTTTCATCAAAAAAAAAACCTTAAATACGAGCGAATCTAACAAATTTTTCCGCGCATTTGGTACCTACTGCCGTGTTTTAGGTTAAATAAGGTTAAATAAGGGAAAAAAAAAGTGTAAAAACAGAAGCAAAACCCTAAAAACATGCAAAAGCAGTTTAGAAAGCAAAAATATTAAAATCTAGCCGCGCTGAAATGAACGTTTTCGAGTCATTTTTGGGGCAGTGCTGAAATGAGCGCGCAGTGCTGAAATGAGCGCGCAGTGCTGAAATGAGCGCGCAGTGCTGAAATGAGCGCGCAGTGCTGAAATGAGCGCGCGGTGCTGAAATGAGCGCGCAGTGCTGAAATGAGCGCGCAGTGCTGAAATGAGCGCGCAGTGCTGAAATGAGCGCGCAGTGCTGAAATGAGCGCGCAGTGCTGAAATGAGCGCGCAGTGCTGAAATGAGCGCGCAGTGCTGAAATGAGCGCGCGGGGCTGAAATGAGCGCGCGGGGCTGAAATGAGCGCGCGGGGCTGAAATGAGCGCGCGGGGCTGAAATGAGCGCGCGGGGCTGAAATGAGCGCGCGGGGCTGAAATGAGCGCGCGGGGCTGAAATGAGCGCGCGGGGCTGAAATGAGCGCGCGGGGCTGAAATGAGCGCGCGGGGCTGAAATGAGCGCGCGGGGCTGAAATGAGCGCGCGGGGCTGAAATGAGCGCGCGGGGCTGAAATGAGCGCGCGGGGCTGAAATGAGCGCGCGGGGCTGAAATGAGCGCGCGGTGCTGAAATGAGCGCGCGGTGCTGAAATGAGCGCGCGGTGCTGAAATGAGCGCGCGGTGCTGAAATGAGCGCGCGGTGCTGAAATCGAAAATTAAAAGGAACGTCGCTCAATTTTTGGCGCTCATGTGACTACCTCTCAATTGTGCCTATTTTAAAACTACACTTTCAAGAATCGTAAACAATCACTACACTTTCAAGAATCGTAACTCTCTTACTTTGTGGCTTCTTCATCGTGCATCGCCATAGGGTGACACACTGTCCGGTGGTGTTGCGAAAGAAGCCGAGATCACATTCGCAAACGCCGCACGGATTGCAATACTCCCACGGCCCACATTTCACTCCTTTACACTGGCTCACGAACCATCCTTAACTCCATGAATTTTTTGATTTCAACTGTAAAGTTTCCTTTCCTGAAATTGCAAAAACTGATAAAATTTCACTTACTTCCTATCATTTATTATTCTTCACTCATTCTTTATTAATAAGTGCTGGATTTAACTGCTGTATTGCACTTAACCAGTCAAGTCAAGTCACCAGTCAAGGTCGTGATTTCTAGTTTCTGTTTTAGAAGCGTAAACCGACCAGTCGAAAGAGAGACGACGCTTATCAGAAGCAGAAATCTCTATAATTGAATGCGAAAGTTTAGCGGTGACCAAAAGACTCACGATTTGAATCATTCTCTTTGCAATGCCACAGAAAAAAAAAAACAACTTGAAGATTTTCAATGAGAGAAAGAAGCTATGATCTTTCTTTTATACTCGAAAACTTCTCGTATTGACACGAACGGGGAAACAGCGGTTAAAGTGTGCAAAGAGGGCTTAACACCTGGGCGGCTGACATGTTTTGCATAGATTTTATCATGTAGATCCCCGTGTTTTTGCTGTGTGAACATTTTATGGCGCTTTTTATGCATTCACAACATAAACACAGATTAGTTGCCATGAAAAATACGGTGGGGAAGGGTGGTCAAATGCTCAATGAGAGAAAAGTCTCTATGCTACAACTGTCAACTCTTCGTTGAGAGCAATCTGCAGCTTTTTTTTTCAGTCTCACGCCGTCAGCAGCTTATAAAACTGAGTGTGCAGTGTCGTGCGAGAATACCGATAGGGGCGTTGATTATTAGATATTTATTCTGAATCTAGCAAGAAATACAATAAAATAGGATTAATCGTTGGTTCAGTGTTTCATGGCAATACAAAAGGAATACGAAAGGAATACGGAGAGAATATGAAAAGTGCCAATGTAAAGTGGGCTCCGACCCTTTTATCCGTCCCTTTATCTTAAAAGCAATCTTTCAGAGGCGGGACAAAAAAACCAGACATTCAAATCAAAACATTAAATAAGATTTCACAGAAAAGAACCACTTTTCTGCACACTGAGAAAAGATTTTGGGCGCTATCATAAATCCTTTTACTTTCTATTTCTAATTTGTTTTGACCTCTTTAATGCCTATGTTTTAACCAGAGTGCACTGCTGGGCCGTCGACTGCTGGGCCGTGCTCCTAAGTACTGGTTCTAGTTCTCACGTGGCTCTCAACTTTGCAAAGGCTATATAGAAAAGGTGAAAGCTTGAATCGGTTAGATAATTGGCACCATTCCATGAGAGATACTTAGGAATTATCTCCAAAAAAATCAGAACGATTCACTCGATTTTGGTGAATCTAGGGCCTCTGAAGCGGCGGTGCTAGTGTCGCGCTTGTCCTTCGCTAGGCCACTTCGTAATCTTCATCAATCAAAAGAAACTCCTTCTTGCATTCATTCTTTTTGTTGAAGATTTCTCCTTCTCTGAAGATTCATTCTCCAATCTTTCCCTATAAACATAAATGGTGAGGGATAGGCGGTGGGAGCTGAGTCACAACCCCCGCCCTTCATCGAAAGTGGGGCTTCTCCGATCTATTATGAACCCAGTCACTACACCGGGGAGTCCCGGTGAGCGGAGTACGGCAAAGATATCGAAAACAGATAGATAAGAGCTAGAGACGGGATTACGGTAGAAAGAGAAAGGGGACACGTTTTAGAAAACGCATTAGTAGTCGGTATACTGTAGAAAGGCTGTTACCTGTTACAGTACTGTTACAACTGTTACAGTACTGTTACCTCTTACAGTACTGTTACAATACCTGCTTTCTACAGTACCCAAAGATATCAATTTCAGCAAACAAACCTCCCAGCTTTGACTGGGCTGTGATTTCGTGTTTTTGCGAGCATCTCTTCAATGGAATACAGGAGATTGAGTTCAGAAAAGGGAGATTGAGTGTGCCAAAGAAAAAAAAAGAAAAAAGAATATCAAGAATTGAGAGTTGCAAGTTTTAAAAGAACTTTTACAAGTTTTAAAAGAACTCTATACTTTTTAGAATTAGAACCAAATCTCAAAAGCAATTTCCAAATGAAATGCAATCGCCAAAGATTGCATTTCATCTGCATTTCATCTGCATTTCATCTGCACTTCATCTGCACTTCATCTACACTTCATCTACACTTCATCTACACTTCATCTACACTTCATCTACACTTCATCTACACTTCATCTGCACTTCATCTACACTTCATCTACACTTCATCTACACTTCATCTACACTTCATCTACACTTCATCTACACTTCATCTACACTTCATCTACACTTCATCTACACTTCATCTACACTTCATCTACACTTCATCTACACTTCATCTACACTTCATCTACACTTCATCTGCATTTCATCTGCATTTCATCTGCATTTCATCTGCATTTCATCTACACTTCATCTGCATTTCAACTCGTCAAACTGCGGAAAACGAAGGAAAACAGAAAGCGCAAAAATTAGTTTGTGGATTCTATATAGTTGATTAATAATTGATTAATAGTTTATCCAATAAACTCGAAATTTTTATTTTCATTTTCATTCAGAAATCGTTTTCAGAAAGACAACTTTAACAAGCCCGTATCGAAAAAGTTTTTTTTGAACAGCTTAATCATTGAACAGCTTGATCATTGATTCAAAGCCTTTAAAACCATTGTTTAGACAATTGTAAGTACAATTTTTGATTATATTTGATGAAATTCCGTTATGAATAAGGCCTTTGACAAGTGCCAAAGCCGGCGAGTGGCCGCCAACCGTCCGACGAGCAAACAAGCGAGGGCTGACCGGCGACGAGATAACTGAAAAACCAAATTGTACGATATTTTGTTATTTTACAGTCAGATTAACAGTATATTTCATAATTATTGTATTTATTCTGATAGAAACCCAGGGGCCTTCTTTTGAATTTTTACTTTTTCAAACCGCCACAGTGCTCAAGTCTATTTTGCGTCTGACTACAATATCCAGCCGGTTCACGTCTTACTAACATATCTCGGTTACCTATTTTGGCGTTTGCTTACCGTACCCTGTATTTTGTTTCTATTACCCCAGTCTGGCGTCTGGCGTCTGGCGTCTGGCGTTTTTGGCGTCTGGCTAACGTATCCCAGTCTACAGGATGTTCGAAAATTACCCGCACTTGGTTTTTTAAGTAAAACTCAGCACTCAGATGTGCAATCAGCTCACGCTTTGCTTTAATAGAAAATTTAAATATTTTTCTACCCTGGATTCTTAGGTTTTGTGGCGAATAGCCACTAAAAAGTTACCTACCGTATTTCCTCTAATAAACGCCCCCCCCCCCTGACCAACTTTGGACGCTTCGTTCTCAGCCCCATTTTGAGATATCTTTATGTTTAATATATCAAAAGATAGCCCTTAATGTCTTCTATCTTTTGATATATTAAACATAAAAATATCTCCAAATGGGGCTGAGAACGAAGCGTCCAAAGTTGGTCAGGGGAAGGGGGCGCTTATTAGAGGAAATACGGTAACTCTGGCAGCCTAAAAATTGGAGAAATATTGAAGAAATTCTATTTCGCGCCCCAAATCATTTATTGTTTTGTAGCTTGTTAGCTGGGTAGCTTGTTAGCTGAGTATCTTGGGTTAAAGCCTATATAAGGCAACTGTTGTTCATTTGGTTCGGTTATCTTTCATTTTCTTTCTGCTTTCCTCTCATTTGTGTGAAAGTTGTGTCCTAATTAGGACGAAATTGCTTCTGTTTTTTATCGTCGCTTTTAATTCAAATGTCGATCTTGTGTGAGAATTGCTCAAGAATTGCTCAAGTGAGAACCCAAAGATTCCGAGTCAGTCGGCTATAGAATAAAGTGGCTATTGAAGTCAGTCGGCTATTGAATAAAGTACCAAGCACGCGAACAATATTTCTTTACAGGTTTAACGAAAAAAAGTTTTTCTGCCTTTTTTTATAGAACCTCAAAGTTGGCAATCAGGAGTTGCTTGGCGCAGCACTTGCCTTTGGAGGATTTAAAAGCACATTTATTCGACACGAATAATGAATCGAATGACTAGAATAGTTTAATTTATCTCTAATTGTCTATAATATCTCTAATTGTCTATAATTCACCAAATTTTCAGTGAAACAGTTAACGACTCCGCGACTGTACACTCAAAATACCATCGTCGCGAATACAATCGTGTGTTAAAGTAATACTCGTTGCTATATTAAGCTTACAGTAAGTCTGCTACATCTCATTATGAAAATTGAATCAACAGTATCAAATTTCTTTACCCGATATCACAATACAGCAACGCCGTTGTGCCCTCCTCGTATTCGGCCGATCGACTTGATTGGATATAAGTAACCTAATCAAATTTGATTACAAGAATAAAATAATATTAAGTTGGCAAGAAAGTCTTTGCACAAATTTAAACTAAAATTTTTGAAAACTAATCTAATTCAAGAACACTTTGTTCTATTATTTAGAAATCGACTCCGAGAAATTACTCGTAAAAGATGAGTGCAGCTTTCCCTTAAAATTAGAAAATAAAACCTAAAATTGGACCCATTACCTATTCATTAACCCATTAAAAAATTGTCTAAAGGCTGGTCACTCAAAAAGTGACCAAGTACCAGTCACTGACCAAGGAAACTCTAGTGCCCAAGGCTCTAGTGCTCCACGCTCTAGTGCCCAAGGCTCTAATGCTCCACGCTCTAGTGCCCAAGGCTCTAATGCTCCAAGCTCTAGTGCCCAAGGCTCTAATGCTCCAAGCTCTAGTGCCCAAGGCTCTAGTACTCCATGCTCTAGTGCCCAAGGCTCTAGTGCTCCACGCTCTAGTGCCCAAGGCTCTAGTACTCCATGCTCTAGTGCCCAAGGCTCTAGTGCTCCACGCTCTAGTGCCCAAGGCTCTAGTACTCCATGCTCTAGTGCCCAAGGCTCTAGTGCTCCACGCTCTAGTGCCCAAGGCTCTAATGCTCCACGCTCTAGTGTTGTCTCTTTTCCATCGACATTGATCTGACCATTGAATCCCTATTTTAAGTACTTGATTTTAGGTTTTGAATGGGACCCATTGCCTATTCATTAACCCATTAAAAAAATGTCGAAAGGCTGGTCACCAAATCACTTTAGCTGATGAAATCTCTTATTTTTTACCTAGGCCCCACTCTAATTTTTTATCAAAAACTTTTTGAAATATAGACAAGTTTATCGAAAAAAATTTAGAAAGAATTCATGAATTGGCTTTTGAGAAATCATCTTGCAAACTTTTCCTACAAACTTTTTTGCCAACCTAATATTTATCTATTAGCGTTTACTTTTGAATGCGGCGGTGCTTTGATGGGTGAGCATTTCTCGACAGACTTCACCGTCAAATCCGACGTGCACCCGCCGAGCACCGGCCGGAATGAGCCGAAAGAGCAACGGGAAAATGTAGGGCCACTGGAATTTAGATAATTATATAACTATAGATAAATGTTATCTAGATATCTAAATATGGAAATTTTGGCTATTTCCCTGAATCATGGACTTTTGGAAGTTTCGTGGTCTTTTGAAAGTTTAGAGGTCCTTTAGAAGTTTCGTGGACTTTTAAAAGTTTCGTGGTCCTTTAGAAGTTACGTGGTCTTTTAAAAGTTACGTGGTCCTTTAAAAGTTACGTGGTCCTTTAGAAGTTTCGTGGACTTTTAAAAGTTTCGTGGTCCTTTAGAAGTTACGTGGTCTTTTAAAAGTTACGTGGTCCTTTAGAAGTTTCGTGGTCTTTTAAAAGTTACGTGGTCTTTTAAAAGTTTCGTGGTCCTTTAGAAGTTACGTGGACTTTTAAAAGTTTCGTGGTCCTTTAGAAGTTACGTGGTCTTTTAAAAGTTACGTGGTCCTTTAGAAGTTTCGTGGTCTTTTAAAAGTTTCGTGGTCCTTTAGAAGTTACGTGGTCTTTTAAAAGTTACGTGGTCCTTTAGAAGTTTCGTGGTCTTTTAAAAGTTTCGTGGTCCTTTAGAAGTTACGTGGTCTTTTAAAAGTTACGTGGTCCTTTAGAAGTTTCGTGGTCTTTTAAAAGTTACGTGGTCTTTTAAAAGTTTCGTAGTCCTTTAGAAGTTACGTGGACTTTTAAAAGTTTCGTGGTCCTTTAGAAGTTTCGTGGTCTTTTAAAAGTTACGTGGTCCTTTAAAAGTTACGTGGTCCTTTAGAAGTTTCGTGGTCTTTTAAAAGTTACGTGGTCCTTTAGAAGTTTCGTGGTCTTTTAAAAGTTACGTGGTCTTTTAAAAGTTACGTGGTCCTTTAAAAGTTACGTGGTCCTTTAGAAGTTTCGTGGTCTTTTAAAAGTTACGTGGTCTTTTAAAAGTTACGTGGTCCTTTAGAAGTTTCGTGGTCTTTTAAAAGTTACGTGGTCTTTTAAAAGTTACGTGGTCCTTTAGAAGTTTCGTGGTCTTTTAAAAGTTACGTGGTCTTTTAAAAGTTACGTGGTCTTTTAAAAGTTACGTGGTCCTTTAGAAGTTTCGTGGTCTTTTAAAAGTTACGTGGTCTTTTAGAAGTTTCGTGGTCCTTTAGAAGTTTCGTGGTCCTTTAGAAGTTACGTGGACTTTTAAAAGTTTCGTGGTCCTTTAGAAGTTTCGTGGTCTTTCAAAAGTTTCGTGGACTTTTAAAAGTTTCGTGGTCTTTTGCAATTTTATTACCAAAAAGTCTTTTAAAATTGTTTAAACGTATTTTATGAAGTTCCACATGCAAATTTAATCAGAATTTAAAGAACAATCGTAAGAAAAACAATTTTGGCATCCCAGCAAAACGCAAGGCTTGGCACGCTGGACACATAAATCTTTGTGAAGCTGGCTTTCACATACAACAGACGTCCTTGCCAACTTGATGATATCCTGTTGAGAATACGAGGAATTCTGTGCGATGTCGCCCAACGTCAGCCCCCGGAATTATATAGCTGGCCGTCTCTGCTCAACAAAGCACAAATCATCACAGGCTTCTGCCTCCGTCAAGGCCAGCATCTCTGCCATTTCAGTCAGACTCTCAGCGTCGTCTTCTTCTTCGTTATTAATCGCCATTTGCGTGGAACAATCAAAGGTCGACTTTCAACTTATTTATTTGAATATATGTTTATTTATTTGAATCTATGAGAGTAACAGAGAATGATGGCCTTGACGGACGCAGAAGCCTGTGATGATTTGTGCTTTGTTGAGTTGAGACGGTCAGATAGCCGAAGAGGCAACTCTTTCAACATTTGTTGGTTCGCATGGAGGCTTCTCTTTCTTTCTACTTATCCTCTTCTCTAGGATTGTTCTTTAAATTCTGATCAAATAGTTTATTTGATCAGAATGGTTCATTTGGAACTTAATAAAATACTTTTCAACAATTTCAAAAGACGGCAAAACGAACTGTTTTTAACAAAAGACCACAAAACTTTAAAACTTTTGAACTTTTAAAAGCCCACGATTGAGGGAAAGAGCCGATTCTTTTAACAAGCCTTCATTCGAAGCTGTTCCATTAAATCGTGTACTCAAAATCATTTGCGGAATGCTTACTTTAGATTTTTCTTAAGCTTAGATATAAATTCTAGATTTCATTTTACTTTTACTATGGATATGGATATGGATATTACTATGGATCCAAAAATTAGTCAACTTGTCCAACTCACTTGGCTAAATATCCCATATTGCATCGAAGGGCGGCGATCGTTCCCTCAGGATACTCACCACCAATGCTTGGTTTAGAAAAAGTCACCTAAAAAAGAGAATACGGTAGAACTTAGGCTTTAGGATGATTCTTGAAGTAAAGTGACAATTAGGCTCTACAATTATTTGACAATTATTTTATCTGGCTTTGACAAACTGTAGTGGGAAACTCTCGGGCAAAGATTAGGTTGTCGGATTATGAATTGCCGTTTTTATCAAAAAGTAATTTTATTATAAAATCAATACAAAAATATTTTAATCTAAAAGGTATTCTCCATCGGTATCTATGACATCTCGCCAACGTCCACGCAAAGAATGAATGCCCTTGTTGAAGAACTCGACCGGCTGTGACTCAAAGAAATTGGCCACCCAAATTTGGACTTCATCGCGGTTTTTGAATTTTTTTTCGGCCAAGGAATGCTGCATCGACCGGAACAAATGGTAATCAGATGGCGCAAGGTCTGGACTATATGGCGGGTGAGGCAGAAGTTCCCAGCCCAATTCTTCAATTTTTTTCAGAGTTACTTTTGCGTGTGTGGACGCGCGTTGTCATGGAGCAATTTTGTTGACGCTGTTTCCACTCCCTGTCGACGAAGCGATTGATCGACGCGGCTAATTGTTCTTTGTAGGGGTCCGCATTAACCGTTTGACCAGAATTTAGCACTTCAAAATTCACCAATCCTTTGCTATTCCACCAAACACAGCATCACCTTTTTGCCATGGATGTCTGGTTTTGGAGTCGGTTTTGGGGTTTGTCCAGGGTTCAACCATTTTCGTTTTCTAGTGGTATTATCAAAGGATATCCACTTTTCATCAGACGTGACAATCGACTCAAAAAAACCACTGTTCTTGGCTTGGTGCAAAAGAATTCCGGCCATATTGATTCGCGTTGTTTTGTTCAAATCGCTTAGTTCATGAGGCACCCATTTACCGCATTTATTCACCTTACCAATGGCATGCAAGTGGTCAGCAATGGTGGAATGATGACAACCGAACCTCTCAGCAAGTTCTCGTGTCGTTTGGGCAGGATCAGAATCGATGGCTGCTTTAAGTTCCTCATCGTCCACAGTTTTTGGTCGCCTCTCATGTTCTTTGTCTTCAAGGCTCTCGTCACCGTCCCGAAAGCGCTGAAACCAATTGCGACATTGACGTTCGTTGATAACATCTTCTCCGAATGCATTGCTTATAGAGCGATGGTATTCTGCCGCTGTTTTTCTTTGTTTGAAGTCGTACAACAAACAAATCCGCATTTTAATTTTGATGTCGTTCATTTCCTAAGACAAATTTATATTAAAAATCTAAGCAAATATAGACGAATAATATATCAATCGACGCGGCATAAAACGCTCTTTAATATAGTTAAAAAAGTACCACAAAATTTTATTTGAAAAAAAATACAAAGCAAAAAAGACAATGGCAATTCATAATCCGACAACCTAATAGATCAACTAGATCAACTAGATCAGTCTAGATCAACTAGATCAGTCTAGATCAGTCTAGATCAGTCTAGATCAGTCTAGATCAGTCTAGATCAGTCTAGATCAGTCTAGATCAGTCTAGATCAGTCTAGATCAGTCTAGATCAGTCTAGATCAGTCTAGATCAGTCTAGATCAGTCTAGATCAGTCTAGATCAACTAGATCAGTCTAGATCAGTCTAGATCAACTAGATCAGTCTAGAATATTGACATGTTTTAGATTTTAGATTTCAGACATGTTTTAGAAAACGGATTATTTGAAAAGGTTACACTCCGGTTAAACCTAAAACACACTTCTCCAAATCCGGGCGAATACGGCGGAGAACAAGACTCGGTGATTTTTGTCGTTGATTCTTCAAGCTCTTCTCCAGATCGATCAATTTCCCCGGCATCTGATTGAATTCGATTCGAAGTCGCGTTAATCGGCGAGATGCAATCGCCAAGTTTGGGTGTCCAATCACCGTTTATACATAGTGTTGATGGCTCACCTAATGGAATTAGTAATAAAGAAGTGAAAGAATTGGCAAGGAAATTGGAGGAAATTGAAAATTCCGGAGAGGAAATTGAACCTTTTTCTTTCCGAGACTCTAACCTCGAATCTTTTCCTTCCCGGGCAATTGCTCTAATCATTGAGCCATCACCTTAACTTTCTAAGAAAAAGAGGGAAAGGCAAGGAGGAAGAAGAAAGGAAGAACAAGACTTTGATCGGTTTAGTGCAAAAGTTGGTTCAGTTGGCTAGTTGGTTCAGTGATTAGAGCAATAGAACAAAGCTTTGAATTTTGCCTTGTAAAGTTTTGTCCAAGTTTCCTTTACTTTACTATCAATCAATTAGTTTTATCAATCTTTACTTTACGTTTACTATCAATACTAATTCTCAATTTGGGCCTAATTCTGTAAGCAACCTTTCTGGTCAACTGAATTCTTCATTTGCAACAGAAGCGGCAAGAAAAGTGAAGAACTGAGTGCCGAGAAAGGGTGCGCTAACAGATGCGCTTAATGCGCTTACAGATGCGCTTACAGATGCGCTTTGCGCTTACAGATGCGCTTAATGCGCTTACAGATGCGCTTACAGATGCGCTTAGTGCGCTTACAGATGCGCTTAATGCGCTTGCAGATGCGCTTAATGCGCTTGCAGATGCGCTTACAGATGCGCTTAATGCGCTTGCAGATGCGCTTATGCGCTTTCAGATGCGCTTAGTGCGCTTACAGATGCGCTTAATGCGCTTGCAGATGCGCTTAGTGCGCTTACAGATGCGCTTAGTGCGCTTACAGATGCGCTTAATGCGCTTGCAGATGCGCTTAGTGCGCTTACAGATGCGCTTAATGCGCTTGCAGATGCGCTTAATGCGCTTGCAAATGCGCTTACAGATGCGCTTAATGCGCTTGCAGATGCGCTTACAGGTGCACTTAGTGCGCTAACAGATGCGCTTAGTGCGCTTACAGATGCGCTTAATGCGCTTACAGATGCGCTTACAGATGCGCTTACAGATGCGCTTACAGATGCGCTTAGTGCGCTTACAGATGCGCTTAATGCGCTTGCAGATGCGCTTAGTGCACTTAGTGCGCTAACAGATGCGCTTACAGATGCGCTTAGTGCGCTTACAGATGCGCTTAATGCGCTTGCAGATGCGCTTACAGGTGCACTTAGTGCGCTAACAGATGCGCTTACAGATGCGCTTAGTGCGCTTACAGATGCGCTTAATGCGCTTACAGATGCGCTTACAGATGCGCTTAGTGCGCTTACAGATGCGCTTAATGCGCTTACAGATGCGCTTACAGATTTGAGCTCGTTTAGGTATCTAAGGACCAAAACGATCGTACTACCTAGATATTTACGTTTGATATCTAATTCTTAATCTAATTTCACCGACCATCAAGCAATGTCCCCAAATGGCAACTGATCGTCGCCACCGTTTTCTCGTCATAAGGTCCAAATCCATAAATACTGTAGGTTATCTAGAATGTTATCTCTGAATTTTAGATTCAACTTCAAAACTCACTGATGAATGAGTTTTCAGGGGAAGCGCTGAACATTTCCCGTCAACGCTTTTCTCATTTATCGATCTTTCGGCGGGACTTCGAAAGATTTCCGGCATTCTTGGATCACATGGAGACATTGTTGAGGGAATCCATTTACCCGAGATACACGTTGATACAACATTGCCTGAATATTTGAGAAACACTTGGAAACCTTTTCAAACTTTAATATCTAGGGCTACAACAGCCACAACAGCTGTAACTTTTACACTTTTACGGTTTATTTTTCTTTTCTATTAGTCTATTCTTTCTATTGTTCAGAAAGTCTTTTCGTTACTTTTTTTACTTCTAAACCAAAAATCGTAAACCAAAAAACGCACCAATTGAACCAATTGAACTATTGGTTTATTTCATTAGAAAAGTCAATTATTTTTCTTCAAAATAACATTAAAACGGGTTTAAAATGTCTTATGTTTGGATTTTTTTGGGAGCATGAAGTCGGGTAGTCAAAAAAGGGCGACCGCTCGATTGGCGACGGCCAAAAAGGCAACGGTTTAGACATTTTAGCTAAGGAAACCTATCTTGGTGTCAATAGATAAAAGATAGAGCATGGAGAGTTTGGTATCCAGCCAAATTTTTAGAGAAATTCATTCAGCCAATCTCTTCATTCAGCCAAAAGCCAATTATTTTTCTGCAAAATAACATTAAAACGGGTTTTAAATGTCTTGATTTGGATTTGGATGTCTGGATTTTTTGGGAGCATGAAGATGAAGCCGCTAAGCTTGCCCTTTTAAGAAACGCAATGTCGGATCTTGATCTGGTTGAAAAATGGGGTCCGGCAAATGGAAACTAGCTTTAGAATCCACGATAAGAGTTGTACACGCTCAATTGGTTGCACGAACGAATGTCTTTGATGAAAGGAAAATGACGAATGACATCAAATCCAAACTGATCGTAAATGCTTCTTGATTCTGCTCCAACCAATTCAGCTTCTTGATGCTTCACCAATTCAGCTTCACCAATTCAGCTTCACCAATTCAGCTTCTTGATGTCGATTGCTTCAATTTCGTGTGAACCAAACTCAATCTTGTAGTCGTGCTCCCAAAAAATTGGGTAGTCAAAAAAGGGCGACCGCTCGATTGACGACGGCCAAAAAGGCAATGGTTTAGACACTTTCTGCTAAGAAAACCTATCTTCGTGTCAATAGATAAAAGATAGAGCATGAAGAGTTTGGTATCCAGCCAAATTTTTAGAGAAATTCATTCAGCCAATCTCTTCATTCAGCCAATCTAGGGTTTTTATAGATTCACTTTCAAATTTGCTTGAAAGTGAACCGAAATTGACTTAAAAAGATAGGAAATTGAACAAAAAACACTTTTTATTTTGAGTGAACCATAGGTTAATCCGTGAATTTGTCTTTCAGCAAAAGTATGGTATGAAAAGACTTTCTGGAGAGCCTAATATTTATCTAATTTCCAATTCGAAAGTCACCTTTTGCCTCAAAACCGTGACTGCACTTGAGGCTGGCCCGGGTGCCCGAGATGAAACCGCCAAAAGCCTCTTTCTAAATAATTTTTAATTTTGTCTGGTACAACTAAATGATATCTAAATGTTTTCTAGTGGACATGGTTATCGGATCGGGTCGGATCGAATCAGGACCGATCTGGTTCGATAGGTCCAACCGCTCGGGCTAGACCGATCCGATCCGTTCGACGGATAAAGGTTACCCCGATCTGACCTGATCCGATCCGTCCGATGGATAAGGCTAACCCAATCCGATCTGATCTGATCCGTCCGACAGATCAGGCTAGCCCGATCCAATCTGATCCGATCCGTTCGACAGATCAGGCTAGCCCGGTCGATCTGATCCGATCCGTCCGACAGATCAGGCAGCCCGATCCGCCAACCGACAGGCTAGCCCGGTCCGACAGCTAGCCCGACCGATCTGATCCGACCGTCCGATGGATAAGGCTAACCCAATCCGATCTGATCTGATCCGTCCGACAGATCAGGCTAGCCCGGTCCGATCTGATCCGATCCGTCCGACAGATCAGGCTAGCCCGATCCGTCCAACCGATCAGGCTAGCCCGGTCGATCAGCTGGCCCGATTCAATCTGATCCGATCCGTCCAACCGATCAGGCTAGCCCGGTCCGATCAGCTAGCCCGATCCGATCTGATTCGATCCGTCCGACAGATCAGGCTAGCCCGGTCCGATCTGATCCGATCCGTCCGACAGATCAGGCTAGCCCGATCCGTCCAACCGATCAGGCTAGCCCGGTCCGATCAGCTAGCCCGATCCGATCTGATCCGATCCGTCCGACAGATCAGGCTAGCCCGATCCGTCCAACCGATCAGGCTAGCCCGGTCCGAGCTGATCCAATTCTAATTTTTGATTCTCTACAACATTTCCATTGACACCAAAATGGGTTTCTTTTGAAGAAAGTGCTCAAACTGGGACATCTCCAGTCCTCCATTTCTGAGTCTCACACTTGTCTCACAAACACAAACCAAAATCCTACTACGAAAGAGGAATCCGCAAATTGCCTGTAAAATGGACAGAAGTCGTCAATAATAATGGAAATTATTTGAAATGAATTGATGGTTTTATGTTGAATAAATAAATTTTAGTTCAAACTCCCGCAGTTTTCGATTCACCAACCCATTTTGGTGTCAATAAAGTATTTTAACAGAAGATATGCTACTGAAATCAAGTTTTTCAGGTGTAAAAAACTTCAAAGATTATTTCTAAAATTTACAAAAACTTTCATGTCTCTTCCTTGAAGAATTACAGAGGTAAAGACAAAAAAAAGTTGAGAGAAATGCAGGAAATTTTAAGTTACAACTTCTGTTACATTTCAGTCTTTATATAAATATAAAATCCATATAAAATCCAATCTAAAAGTCCTATAATTTTGTCCGGCACTGTATTTTTGTTTTAGTTTTCCTATGGTTATTATATTTTTACCTGCGAGTAGCCGATTTCCCCATTCAGCACCGGTGGCACCGGGAATGAGCACAATTTTTCGACGATTTTCTCGACTAAACTTTTAGAAATGATACCGTAATCTATATAAATATCTAGATAATTCTATATATAAATATCTGGATAAAAGATAGCTTAAACAAACCATTTCTCGGTATACATACGCCCATCCGCTCGGGTACCCAATGTCCATTGAGACACGTCGCTAAACGATCCCCCGCCGGCGTCCACCCCAATTCGCACTCCAATTCGGCTACGGTACCCTGGAATTGATATCTAAATCTTAAGCTTTAACTAGCGTAAACCTTAGACTGATATGCATAGAGGAGTGCTGCGTAGCGTCCTGGTTTGCAGGTTTGCTTTAATCAGTTGCAGGTTTGCTTTAATCAGTTGCAGGTTTGCTTTAATCAGTTGCAGGTTGGCTTTAATCAGTTGCAGGTTTGCTTTAATCAGTTGCAGGTTTGCTTTAATCAGTTGCAGGTTGGCTTTAATCAGTTGCAGGTTGGCTTTAATCATTTGAATTTTTTTTTATTAGTTTGAGGTTGGTTTTTATAAATTTGGGGGGTGTTTTTATATTTTTGGGGGTGGTTTTTTTTATGATGGGTGGGGTTTTTTTTAATCAGTACGCTACGCAACACTCCTCTATACATATTAGTCTAAGGTTTACGGTAGTTTAAAGCTTAAGAAAAACTGATTAAAGCAAACCGCAACTGATTAAAGCAAATGTTTGTCGATTACGTAAGTCTCTAAGTCCCAGTCCTCTAAGCATGTAATTTTCTTAGGAGATCTACAGTATTGTAATACTTACATTTGAATAAAAACCCGTGGAATTTGTATAGTATTTGATCTTCGACGACGGAGGACTGGCCATTGAGAGACATGATGAGACTGGAGCTCGTCGTTGAGGGGATTCAGCTGAAATTTGAATCCTAAACAATGAAAAGATCGTAAACTTCTCAAATTTTCACTTCAACAGTCGAAAATTTATTGTTTTTTCAAATCTAATTCACAAAAACCCGTGCCTATGTTCTAGCTTTCTTTCTTTCAAAAGCTTTAAAAGCTATCGTAATCTTATCTCTAGTTTTGGCCAATTCAAGAGCTACTTTTTGAGGATATCTTGCAAAGAGATAGAATTTTTTAAGCTCTGACCTAAAAACCCTTGAAAAGGTAGTCGTTAAAGTGGACAAATCTCGCTTTTTCATTGCAAAACTATTGAGAATCAGACTGATAAATGGATAGCTTTAATGTAGCCTCTTTTTTAGCTGATAGCACACAACATTATCATTCACTAATCGTCTAAAATTATCAAAATCTTAAGAATCGTTATCGAAATGTAGATAACGATGAGATCTCATGGAAATTAAAAAAATTTGGGGTTCTAGAGAGCTTTAACCTAACTAGGAAAAGGCACGAACTCAAGGTGAGCTTCTGGACTTAAAGAGCTTCTGGACTTAAAGAGCTTCTGGACTTAAAGAGCTTCTGGACTTAAAGAGCTTCTGGACTTAAAGAGCTTCTGGACTTAAAGAGCTTCTGGACGTAAAGTACACTTTATAGAATCGAGTATGAGGAATTCGAATCTGAAATCAAAAACTGTCAAATGATTTTCCGGGCGAGTAGACCGATAAATGAACGGCTCTACTGTAGCCTGCTTTACTACACGAAAACATTATCGTTATCTTCACTAAATCCTCTAAAATTATCAAAATCTTTCAATCAAAAATTTGGCGTCAAAACGAATGCTTTAAAAAGGCTTCTTCCTAGCTGAGAAAAAGTGGCTTGTTGGCCTGGTGGATAACGTGTTGGGTTTCCGCTCACAGGATCGATGCAGCTTTTTGATTTCGATTCCTGACGCAGCTTTTTGTTGCTATGTCTTTCTCGATGTTTTTGTTTTTCTTTTCGAGCAACTTCTGGAATTTTGCAAGGTTCCATTACGGTTCCAATACGGCTAAAAGTGGCTTGGTGGCCTGGTGGATAACGTATTGGGTTACCGCTCACAGGATCAGGGTTCGATTCCTGGTGCAGCTTCTTGTTGCTATGTTTTTGTCGATATGTTTTTGTTTTTCTTTTGGAGCAACTTCTGGAATTTTGCAAGGTTCCATTACGGTTCCAATACGGTTCCAATAAGGCTTCTATTTTGATCCAATACGGTTCCAATAAGGCTTCTATTTTGATCCAATACGGTTCCAATACGGTTCCAATAAGGCTTCTATTTTGATCCAATACGGTTCCAATACGGTTCCAATAAGGCTTCTATTTTGATCCAATACGGTTCCAATACGGTTCCAATACGGTTTCTATTTTGATCCAATACGGTTCCAATACGGTTCCAATACGGTTTCTATTTTGATCCAATACGGTTCCAATACGGCTTCTATTTTGATCCAATACGGTTCCAATAAGGCTTCTATTTTGATCCAATATGGTTCCAATAAGGCTTCTATTTTGATCCAATACGGTTCCAATACGGTTCCAATAAGGCTTCTATTTTGATCCAATACGGTTCCAATACGGTTCCAATACGGCTCCTATTTTGATCCAATACGGTTCCAATAAGGCTTCTATTTTGATCCAATACGGTTCCAATACGGTTCCAATACGGCTCCTATTTTGATCCAATACGGTTCCAATAAGGCTTCTATTTTGATCCAATACGGTTCCAATACGGTTCCAATACGGTTTCTATTTTGATCCAATACGGTTCCAATAAGGCTTCTATTTTGATCCAATACGGTTCCAATACGGCTTCTATTTTGATCCAATACGGTTCCAATACGGTTCCAATACGGCTCCTATTTTGATCCAATACGGTTCCAAATTGCATAATGGCTAATTGCATAATGGCTGCTTGCAAAGTAGGAATTGGTTATCCAAGTTCAAATTGCTTTTTCAAATTATCTCGTTTTTCAATAGATATTTGTTAAAGTATCATTAAAAACTTCTTTTTCCTAATGTATTATCTACAAGGCCATCAACCCACTTTTCTCCGCTAGAAAGGAGCCTTTTAAAGCATCCGTTTTGACGATGCTTTTAAAGCAAATCTTTTATTAAAATTTCCCCGCCTGGAAAGTCATTTGATGGTTTTTGATTTCCGATTCGGATTCCCCATATCCGATTTTTTTAAAGTGCAATAGACAGGGAAAATATTGCGTTGAGTTCGTGCCTTTCATACGAACATTAGTAGAACATTAAAGAATGCAGTGCTGTCCTTTAGTAAGAACATTACAGAATACAGTGTTCACTAACCGATTTTCCACAAATCCCCTCCATTATGTTTGTTTAAATCTCTGGGATTTGAAAAAAACGTGTCAAGTCATATCCATCAACCACATATTTTTAATTAACTAAAGCATTAACTAAAGCTTAACAAAAATGATCGAAAAGTGACAAAAGTGACAAAAAAAAGATTGATATTTCATCAATATTGATAAATGTTTATCAAGAACAAGAAAAGATCAAGAAAAAACAAGCAGCGACTAGGAAAAGTGACTAGAACAAGTAGAAAAAAGCAAAGCAAAACAAAGCAAAACAAAGCAAAACAACCATCAGTAATAATCTTATACACAAATGCCGAGTGGTGGAGTGAAAATGCCACCTTGACACGTTGTGGTGCTGGATCCAAGGACACGAGTCGATGATGAGCATTGGAGATTGATCGTGGATCCGGATGAGAATGGAGGAGACGAAGATGAGGAGGGATAGCTCAGATTTCCATTGAAAGGAGCGAGTGGAGCGAAGGGACATTGACCTGCAAATGAGCCTAGAAGTGTGCTTTGTGTAAACACACACCTTCTGGTGCGCTAAGCCCTTCATTTCTTGTGGCAAATCCACCAGAAAGGGCATGTTTCTATGCACAAAGTACTTACGAGCCTTTGGCGTTTACTTTGTGTTGGCGCTTTGCAAAAACAAACCCTCTGGCGCACCTAATTCTGCATTTTCTTTTCTATGACACCTTGGTTTCACGAGAAAACTGATGAATCGAGTACACCAGAAAGAGGCGTTTACAGATCTGAGCGCAAAGCAAATCAAGTACTTGACTTTTAGATGAGCAATGAATTGAGTTTAGTGTTCTACCGTATCCTGGGGTATTCCGATCCTTTCCCTGAAGATCTGGAAAGAGTGAAAGAGTCATTTAGTATGGTAGGAGTAGAACAATCAATCTAATAGTAATTAAGGTAGCATCTTTTATGTATTACGGTAGTTTTTTAAGAAGCACATAGTCTATTCTCATTGTCAGCTTTGTACCTGGGTTACCGTAGATTTAAAAAAGTAGCCAGATTACAGTAGATAGGTTACAGTAGATAGACTACGGTAGATAGACTACGGTAGATAGGCTACGGTAGATAGGCTACGGTAGATAGACTACAGTAGCTTCTGAAAAGGTAGCTAGATTACAGTAGATTCAAAAGGTAGCTGAATTACGGTAGATTCAAAAGGTAGTTAGATTACGGTAGATTCAAAAGGTAGCTAGATTACAGTAGATTCAAAAGGAGCTAGATTACAGTAGATTCAAAAGGTAGCTAGATTACAGTAGGTTCAAAAGGTAGCTAGATTACCGTAGATTCAAAAGGTAGCTAGATTACAGTAGATTTAAAAGGTAGCTAGATTACAGTAGATTTAAAAGGTAGCTAGATTACAGTAGATTCAAAAGGAGCTAGATTACAGTAGATTCAAAATGTAGCTAGATTACAGTAGATTCAAAAGGTAGCTAGATTACCGTAGATTCAAAAAAATAGCCAGGATACGGTAGCTTTCCCATCTTCCAAAAATAGCCCCTTTTAAGAAGAGCAAAGAAGTCTGATCTTAAACTTCAGTAGCTTCATGCTGGATTTGACGCAATGAATGATTTCGATGAATGTACTGTCCCTGATAGACAGAGAGCACTTTCTAAAAGGTATCTATTTAGAAAACTGTAATCAGAGTTTTATAATCACTAACCTGTGTCGAAGCATTGTACAGTAAACAAAAAAACCCAAAAAAACCCAAAACAAAAAATAAAAAGCAAAAGAAAACCGAAAAAAAATAAATTAAAGGACAGTCTCACGGGTTAGAGAAAACAATTTTTAAGAGATTTTCAAGAGAAAACAATTTTCTTTCTTCATGTGTACTTTTTCTTTCTTTCATTTCTTTGTCATTTCTTTCGCTATTCATAAAATCACTAACCAACTCCAGTGCCACTCGTCGAACAGGTGCCCAAGTAACTCCATTGGCCGTTCGTGCAAGTCGTTATCGCTGAGCCGCTCACCGATTGTCCCATCGGACAAGTGATCGTCACAGAGGCACCTATTTTGGTGTACTTTTTGGCTTATTTGTTAAAACAATCCTTCTGGCGCACTGTGAGTTCTTTATTTACAAGAATTCAGTGCACTAGAAGGGGTGTGTTTACAGAAAAAGGCACAAAGTTCGAAGTAATAGAAAGATTTTCAAATTCTCCATTTGGCACACTGAAATCCCGATGTTTAATGTTTGAAGCTGGTAGAGTATCAAGATTTTGAAGCTCTGTTACGCTTAGCTCTATTGAAGCTCTATTGAAGCTCTATTGAAGCTCTAGTGAAGCTTTACTCAAGCTCCACTCAAGCTCTACTGAAGCTACGCTCTATTGAAGCTCTAGTGAAGCTCTAGTGAAGCTCTAGTGAAGCTTTACTCAAGCTCCACTCAAGCTCTACTGAAGCTACGCTCTATTGAAGCTCTATTGAAGCTCTATTGAAGCTCTATTGAAGCTCTATTGAAGCTCTATTGAAGCTCTATTGAAGCTCTATTGAAGCTCTATTGAAGCTCTAGTGAAGCTTTACTCAAGCTCCACTCAAGCTCTACTGAAGCTAAGCTCTATTGAAGCTCTAGTGAAGCTCTACTGAAGCTCTACTGAAGCTCTAGTGAAGCTCTACTCTAGATATTCCGTTACTTGAAAATTTTATGGTTACAGCGGCCGAGCTGTCACCTAATTATACCAACTCTTACCCAAATTACAATAATAATCGTACTGTAGTTAGTAAGGTGTCGTACTGTAGTTAGTATTGTAAAAACTGTGGCAAAAACTAGCTGTGGAAAGCTTTGGAGCTAGAACTTTTGACGAAGTTTTCAAATTTGCAAGAAAAATTTTGCAAATTTCCATTCTCCTACCCTTAGATCTCTAGTAATACATTTAAAAATCGAATAAAATATCGAAAAACCATTATAAAACGGTCCAGCGGAGCTCCCAGTCGAGTAGATCGGATTGGCGCCCATCGGGATCAACGGTGCAAAAGGACACGTGGTACCTGAATAAAAAGAGATTTAAATAAGATATATTAGATTGAGAACTTGAAAGTTGGTACACTTATTCATTGAGCTTTTTAGAACTCTTTTTTAGAACTTCTTTGTCTTTCTTCCTTTCTTTCTCTTCCTTTCTTTCTCTTCCTTTCTTTCTTCCTTGTCTTTCTCTTCCTTGTCTTTCCTAATTCTTCTTGGGCAAGGCGCCGATAGCTCAATGGCAGAGACGTATCCAGAATTTTTCGATCTGCCGGCTTTCGGTCTTTCGGTCTACCGGCTCAAGCTCTTCGAGCCCCAATCAATTTCCGGCTAAGAAATTGTATTTTTTTTAAATTTCAGGCTACAAAACTGTCTAAACGGTTTTTTGAAAACATTCAAGGAGCTCGAGATTTTTGCATTTGAAGTTCACCATTTTCACTTTTCTTGTTTTTTCAATTTTTGATCGCGAAAATCTCGAGCCCTTTGAATTTTTTCATAAAAACTTTTAGCCAGTTTTGTAGCCGGAACTTTTTAATACATATATTTTCAGATTTTGATCGGAAATTGATTGGGGATCGCCTCGAGGAGCTCTGGCCGTTAGACTGAAAGTCGGGAAATCGTGGCAACACCTTTGCTCAGTGGTAGAGCATTTGGAAAAGGAAAATGTCGGTAAGGAAAATGTCAAGGGTTCAATTCCGCTTGTTTTCAAATCACAAATTCATTACTTTACTTTATTATCTAATTAAATCTCACCACTACCACCGGGGTTACTCGTAGACGAGCAAAAGCCGAGCTGCGGACTCCATTGGCCATTTGTACAAGTGGTGAATTGAGAGCCTAAAGAGGATTTGGACTAAAAACTTCGATTTGGACTAAAATATGGCTGAATTTGAGAAGATTACTGTAATTTGCTTATTTATTTATCTAACTAATTTATAGTATTTTCATTTAGAAGTATTTAGAACTCGTCCTTTGAAACCAGTCCTTTTTAAGAGATCGTAGCTTTAGAATAGTTATAAAAAGTTACTAGTATTATTTGGATTACTGTATTCTATAAGTCTATCATTATCGACCGTTTACAGCTGATAAACCCACCTTGCACGAAACCGGAGAAACATGTGATATTAGCGGTGGTGCCCGAGTTGAACGGGCCGAATGGACCGTTCGAATAGTTTACGGTACCTGGATTAGAGAAATGGAAAGTGTTCCACAAACTAAGCTCTAGATAAGCTACATATACAGCTATCAAGTTACATTGTGCAACTTGTCGCCTGTCGTACTTAGTACTATGCTATACCCCGGTACTCTACAGCACTGTGCTATCCCCTAGTACTCTACAGCACTGTGCTAGACCCTAGTACTCTACAGTACTGTCCTATACCCTAGTACTCTACAGCACTGTGCTATCCCCTAGTACTCTACAGTACTGTGCTAAACCCTAGTACTTCACAGTACTGTGCTATCCCCTAGTACTCTACAGTACTGTGCTATACCCTAGTACTCTACAGTACTGTGCTAAACCCTAGTACTTCACAGTACTATGCTATACCCTAGTACTCTACAGTATACCCTATACCCTAGTACTCTACAGTCCCCTACTCTACAGTCCCCTACTCTACAGTCCCCTACTCTACAGTCCCCTACAGTACTCTACCGTATTTTTAAGCAATTTACCCTACAGTAGATCCTACTGTAAAGACCCGATCTTGTCCACAGCACTACACAATCCCGAGATAAAGATACTAGCTTTACAGTACTATTCAGATGATTAGGATCAGCTCCATTTGACTTCTGGGTTTTCTAAAGAGCTATTTTAGAATAATCGATCAGTTTCCATTTGATCAGGATACGATTTTGGTTTCTTTCATTGAGCCTTTCATTGATGATACCAAAACTGGGCTGATTTAATGAAAACTGGCGCTTTTTTGTACGGTAATAGTACGGGCTTTTGAAATAGTACGGTAATAGTACGGGCTTTGAAATAGTACGGTAATAGTACAGGCTTTTAGATAATGCATTAGCTGAAATGAGCTCTAATCCAGTCAAATCCGGGAAAATTTCTAGAAAATGCTGAAGAAAAATCCTTTTGAGTACCGGTAATAGTAAGGGATTCAATTTTGAATCTAAATAATCTCTAATTTCTTCACAAACCTCCCGTCGCACTGGTGATCGCCGTGCATTGGCCGCCTGAAAGCAGTCAAGAAATTTGTAGAAATTTGCATTTTAAAAATAACTGTTTGTCTGTATTTTTATTCATTTGTCTTATTGGATATTAGTTAAAAAAAACCCGAAAATGTTAAGAATTGAAGGGGTTAGTTGAAAAAAAAGAAAAAAGAACACTCGAAAATCGCAGCTAGAATCTTTCCGCGAAAGTTTTGCTCAAGAAAAACACAAAACCTGTTTGTCTGATGGTTCTAATCCCTGAAAAGATTTAATATTTAAATATTTTACATATTGTAGATCAGATATTATAGATTGGATTTTAGATTTTGAACAACGATTAGACACTTTTGATCTTTTGACTTTGACTGACTCTGACTCTGGCTCTGACTGGCGCTCTTTAGCCTGGCCTTAGCCTGGCTTACCGAAAGGATTACTGTACAATTAGAGACAGAAAACGAAAATTGATGCCGGGTTACGGTAGTCAGAGGAGCTTCTTGGAGCTTCTTGGAGCTTCTGGAGCTTCTTGGAGCACTTTGAAGCTTTTTGGAGCTTTCTAAGCTTTTTGGAGCTTTCTAAGCTTCAAAAAAGCCCAGAAAGCTCCAAAAAAGCTTAAAAAGCTCCAAAAAGCTCCAAAGTGCTCCAAGAAGCTCCAGAAAAGCTTCGAAAGCTTTTCCCAAAAGCCCGCTCCGACTACCGTAACCCGGCATCAATTTGCGTTTTCTGACTCTAATTGTACAGTAATCCTTTCGGTTACGATAGAAATCTACTAGGATTACTGGAGCAAGGCCACAGTAGCCAAGAGACGCTTTAGAGGCTTGCCGATGTTCGGAACAAGTTACCGAGGCTTGCCGATGTTCGGAACAAGTTACCGAGGCTTGCCGATGTTCGGAACAAGTTACCGAGGCTTGCCGATGTTCGGAACAAGTTACCGAGGCTTGCCGATGTTCGGAACAATTCTTTAAGTTATTTGATGATGCCTATTCAGATATTGGAGATCAAATAGCAGATATTAAATATTAGATAGCTATATAATATTAGAAGCTATATAAAATCAGCTCTGTTTACCTATTGCATCTTTGTTGATCGTCGTGAGCGGACACGAGCCGAACCCGGCCGGTTGCCATCCGCCATTCAAACACTCGCTTTGGGAAGTACCTGAAAATGGTTTGAATCTAGATTCACATATGCTACTATGCTACATAAAGATTCTGATTTTGATAATTAATTGCTGTTTTTCATAACTAATTGTTGTTTTTTGGTTATTGGTTTTTCATTGTCTTAGAAAGTGAAAAAGATTGTTTAGATTAGGGTATTAGGTGGCATTGTTTAGATTAGGGTTTTCAGTCTAGATAGAGTATTCAGTCTTGACTGTCAGGATTATCGTCTAGATTAGAGTATTACGGTATTCCATCTAGAATAGGATATTCAGTCCAGAATAGCTAGATTACGGTATTTAGTCTAGATTAAGGTATTCGGTCTAGGTAGAGTATATCGTCTAGATTAGAGTATTCAGTCTAGATTGGAGTATTCGGTCTAGACTGTCTGGATTACGGGATTCAATCTAGAATAGGATATTCAGTCCAGAATAGCCCAAAAAGCTAGCTAGAGCTAGATATTCAGTCTAGATTAAGGTATTCAGTCTAGATTTGATTAAGCGCAACACTATTTATGCCAATTCACCATTTTTCTCGCAACTAAACATTGGAATTATAGAAACATTATCGAAATCTTAATAGAATACCGAAATCTCAATAGAATATCGAAATCTTTATAGATTTATTATCTAAATATCTACACTTTATCCCAAAAAAACCCACCGATAACCGATCCAGTCGAGCAATTCAGACTAACCGATGTGCCCGTTGGATAGGCGCCGAATTGACCCGGCTGGCTGTAGTTTAGCGTGCCGAAAAGTGGCGGTAAAAGGCTGGGACACTAGAAATTAGATGAAATCTATTTAGATACTGTAGATCTAGACAGTAGACAAATATTATTACACTACTCACCAAAGAGGGACTTATCGTAAAGCTGGGAGAGCCCTGGCAGCTCCCTAGCGCCGGGCTCCAGCCACCATTCTGAAAGTTATCTTTACATTTACATCTGAAAGCTATCTTTACATTTAAAAGATCTTCAGCTCAGTTAGAGATCTATATTTTATAATATATTAGTTAGATTTCAATTTACTTGACAAATCGATTGCGTCGGTCCAACCGGGTTTGTCCCTTGAATGCAGGATAGATAGACTTGAGAGCCGATCGGTTTCGTGGACTAAAATGGGACAAGAATTGTGCCAGAAAGGTGCGTTTACAAGAGCACAAAGTGCACATAGAACTAATCGTACTACAGAACTAATCGTACTACGGAACTAATCGTACTGCAGAACTAATCGTACTACAGAACTAATCGTACTACAGAACTAATCGTACTACAGAACCACAGCAAAAACAATTTTCTATATTACGTCTAGATTCGGGGTACTGTAGGTGAGATTGCCGTTTAGTAGAGCCAAATTCGGGCAAACTGTCGAAGTGACAGACGCGGTGACGAGCGTTGATGAGATGCACGCACCTAAATCAACATAACATCATATCGTTATATCTGTAAGTTTATAATATCCTGTATTCTCTTTAATAGCCCGGAAGAGACTGAAAAAATAGTATTGAAAGGTTTGTTTGTCTAAAATTAGCATTTAAGCTTTTGCCGTTTGTAGCTTTGAATCATTTTGTTAAAAACACACTCTTCTACTATTTTTTCGTTGTTTTGTAATAATTTTTATGTGTTCTTTTAAATAAGAGACATCAACGGCGAGTCGAGTCAGAGGTCCTTGACCCTGAGTCAGAGGTCCGACTCGACTCGACTCGTGACTAGGCTTAGCTAATGTTATACGGCTAACGCGCTCACGGCTAACGCGCTCACGGCTAACGCGCTCACGGCTAAGCTAACGCGCTCACGGCTAAGCTAACGCGCTCACGGCTAAGCTAACGCGCTCACGGCTAAGCTAACGCGCTCACGGCTAAGCTAACGCGCTCACGGCTAAGCTAACGCGCTCACGGCTAAGCTAACGCGCTCACGGCTAAGCTAACGCGCTCACGGCTAACGCGCGTTAGCCGATTCGAGTCGACCCGAGTCACAAAAGCGAAACTACGAGGAAAATTCTAAAGGATTTGCAAATTGATTCGATTCTGGTACATGAAGGGTGCACTAAGAGAATCGACTTATGGCCCAGACTGGCCCGACGATTTCGCTACGTCGTTGAGACGCAAACGCCTATCGAGCATGGGGAACACGATGCTCTATTTATTTTTGCCCATTCTCAATGGTTCACGAGAAAAGCGCTTGCGAAGTTTGGGCGCCTACTCGGGAAATCGCAGCTCGGGTATATATGGGCTCTTTCCATCTCATTCAGGTGTGACCGAATGGTGTAGCGGTAAGTCTGCGCGCTCTCAATCTCACTTTTGCTTCTCTTGACCCTGGTTCGAATCCGGTTGCGAAATTTGTTTTTGCTGGCTTTTGCTGGCTTTTGCTTGAGCTTTAAAAACACTTTTTATTTGTTTTAGAATGCCGAATACTAATTTTTAAGAATAAATGAGAGTTGAAACTCTAAAAATGAACAAAAAGTGCTTGACCTAGTTTGGACGTTATTTCGGGTGACAATTTCTGGATTAAAACAATATTATTTAGACTGCAAAGAGAAAAAGATGAGACCAATTAAAATTATTAGAAAGAATTAGAAAGAATACGGTATTCATTATCTAGATAGCAAGGTCCGTTGCATATTTAAAACAGTAGTTTCTCGTCCTACTTCTTTCGCTCCCTGCTGACCCTATAGGCCCTATCGGACTTCTATGGTCCCCTGCTGACCCTATAGGCCCTATAGGACGCCCTATAAGCCCTATAGAACTTCTTTCGCTCCCTGCTGACCCTATAGGCCCTATCGGACTTCTTTGGTCCCCTGCTGACCCTATAGGCCCTATAGGACGCTCTATAAGCCCTATAGAACTTCTTTCATCCCCTGCTGGCCCTATAGGCCCTATAGGAGTTCTTTCGTTCCCTGCTGGCCCTATAGGCCCTATAGGACTTCTTTCATCCCTGCTGGCCCTATAGGCCCTATAGGACTTCTTTCATCCCCTGCTGGCCCTATAGGCCCTATAGGCGATTATTAGCCAGGCTAGCTTTACAAGCTGATCTTACAGGCTGGTCTTACAGGCTAGCCTTACAGGCTGCCGCAGATCAGGGTCGTAAACTAATGACCTGGGCCTGGGCCAGAGTCATGAATAGGCTAAGATCAGGGTCATGAGCATGGCCTGGCTGGCCTACAATAGCTAGAATCTATTCAGTCTGTAAGTATGAAGCCTGTTTCTAAGTAATCTTAAGAAAAAATTAGAATAGAAAAAACCGTAAGTCAATTGGTGAATTGGAGAGTTTTAAACAGAACATAAATAACGACAAATTTCACACTTATAGACCCAAAGATTATCTATTTACCTAAAGCCTTGCAAAGATAATCTATTCACCTAAAGTCGTCGGTATCCAGACTCCATTGTTGCAAGTGGCTGTTAGTGCTCCTTGAGCCGAGAAACCGCTTGGACAACTCAATGAAGCTGTGGAGAGGGATGGGCGCTGATTGGCAGCTAAAAAAATCTCCATTATCTAGATACAATGAATCTAAAATACATCGATTTTGAGTCATGGATACTTGGTACTGAATAGGGCCAAATACTAGGCAATACTCGTTGAAAATTACTTATTAATTGCCCAGCACCGGTACTAGTAGCTGGTCTAGTCCCTGGTGCTGTTATCATAGCATATGGGCCACCCTGTACAGTACCAGCCATGGTCCACCCTGTACCAGCCATGGTCCACCCTGTACAGTACCAGCCATGGTACAGCTTTTAAATAGTACCTGTACCACATATTAAGCTCATTTAGTAAGCTCATTTATTTTCCACCACCTGAACTCGAGTAATTGACCGTTCCAACGGCGGTGATTAGTTGAATATCCATGCATTGACCCCCAGCATTCCCCGAATTCACTCCAAATATCGACGTGCCGGAGACGCAGCTACCTGTAAAGATCAGTAAGTAAAGATAATCAGCTTTAGTTGATTATCGTTACGGTATAGCAAAACAATTTTTGCCGTATACTGTAATTCTTACCCAATTCCGGAATCCAGGCTCCATTCTGGCAGAAGCTCGCGCCGGCTCCCTGGATAACGAAACCAAGATTGCAGTTGAGATTCGCGGAAAGTTGATTGCCAAAGCCTGCAATCAAGCATTATCAAGCATAAAAATATATAGACAAAGATATAATTCAAAGACAATTTTGATAGTATCTAAGGAATCTAAAGTTTTAGCCTCTCTGTAGCCTCTATGTAGCCTCTATGTAGCCTCTAAGTAGCCTCTCTGTAGCCTCTATGTAGTCTCTATGTAGCCGTAGCCTCTATGTAGCCTCTATGTAGCCTCTTTGTAGCCTCTATGTAGCTTCTAAGTAGCCACTAAGTAGCCTCTTTGTAGCCTCTATGTAGTCTCTATGTAGCTTCTAAGTAGCCTCTCTGTAGCCTCTATGTAGCGATCGTATTCCTTAGTGAGGCCTGCCTCTATCAATGCTTTAGGCTGAAAAATTTCTTGTAGATAGATTTCATCCTATTTTTATAGATATTAGACATATATATTGGGTTATCCAGTTATGAATGCGCGTTTTTACTATTCTGTAAATTTCTCAAGATATCGAACAGATGTATATGAGTGTCATATATCATTCGAGAGCTGAAGATCTCCTCTACATTTTGGAATAAAAAAGTTTTTGAATTCATTCAACTTTTTGGGAAATTGACTGCACAAAGGGAGAGGTCGTTTTCGAAAAAACCCATTTCAGCTTAGCTATTCCTCAAGTTTTATGGTGTAAAATAACCGCCCAGAAAGGAAAAGAAAAGTAAAGATGCTCTGAAATTGTTATATTTAAAAAAAGTTGTATTGATATATCTATTAGGCAAACATCAAACGGTTAGCTCAATTTGAGCGGAGCCAAAACTTGATCCAAAGGCACCTCGGCTGGCTCTGAGTCCTGAGAGCTGGCTCTGAGTCCAGAGAGCTGGCTCTGAGTCCAGAGAGCTGGCTCTGAGTCCAGAGAGATGGCTCTGAGTCCAGAGAGATGGCTCTGAGTCCAGAGAGCTGGCTCTGAGTCCAGAAGCTGGCTCTGAGTCCAGAGAGCTGGCTCTGAGTCCAGAGAGCTGGCTCTGAGTCCAGAGAGATGGCTCTGAGTCCAGAGAGATGGCTCTGAGTCCAGAGAGCTGGCTCTGAGTCCAGAGAGCTGGCTCTGAGTCCAGAGAGCTGGCTCTGAGTCCAGAGAGCTGGCTCTGAGTCCCGAGAGCTGGCTCTGAGTCCCGAGAGCCAAAACTTGATCCATTTTTTGGCCACCTCTTCTTCTGTGCAGTCAATTTGCCCAAAAGTTGAACAAATTCAAAAACTTTTGATATCAAAATGTAGAGGAGATCTTCAGCTTTCGAATAATACTCATATATAACTTTTTCTTGATTTCGGTATCTTGAGAAATTTATAAAATAGTAAAAAACGCGCATTCATAACTGGACAAACCAATATATTTCAAATTTCAAATATTATTTTAACGTTTTATCAAATTTTTTTCCAAATCCAACCATTCAAAATGATCTGTCCATTGTCAGCGCTCACTTGTGGACAATTGCTCTGAAAATTTTGCATTAAAATTTAGATTTTTAACCAAAAAAAAACGAAAAAACGTTAATTTAGAAAGATTATTAGAGGTTAAGAAAGAGAATTCTTAGCTTTTGTTAGAGCAAATTGAACATTTTATTGACCTGTCTCTTTACCACGGTCAATGGGATTTCCGTGTCGTTGGGGTTTAGCTAAAATAGAGGCCTAACTATGGAAATTATTATATTATTGTAGAATCTCATACTTGATGACATTTACTTTGTGTACTTTGTGTACTTTTGCTCGTGTACTTTGTGCTTGCGTAAACGCTAAACACAAAGCACATCTGAAGCCTATAAATCACCTTTTCACAACTCCCGATCAGATTTGACCATTGCCGGAAATGGCAGCTCACATTTTGAACTCCACGAACAATGTACCCTTGATCACAAGCGAGTGAAGCAGAAGCTCCTATAGAAAAATTTGTTAGCAAATTGTAGCTTATCTAAAACCTTCAGTCAACGGCTTTGAACCATTCGATGATGAGTAAGAGATTCGGCCATTCAACGGCACAAGCATTGGTTGACAATGAATCTCCAACGAGGAGACACACTCGCCGATTGGCGGACTCCAGAGACCAAGTTTACAAGTTGACGTGACCTAGAAAATCGATTGATATGTCAGATTCAGTGTTAGTCAGATAGTCAGATAGTCAGCTAGTCAGCTAGTCAGATAGTCAGCCAGTCAGATAGTCAGCTAGTCAGACTAGTCAGATAGTCAGCTAGTCAGATAGTCAGCTAGTCAGATAGTCAGCTAGTCAGCTAGTCAGATAGTCAGATAGTCAGCTAGTCAGATAGTCAGCTAAATCAAGGATTTCAAATAGAGGCTGATTGGACTAAAGAATCTTGGAAAAATCTCTCTGTAAATCGAGAGACATCGTACAATTTTCATTGTCATTCGTTTTTCAAAGGCTTTCAGGCTTTCAGGCTTTCATTTGCTTTGCTTATAATGCTTTCATTTGCATTATAAAATACCAGCTGAGCTGGGCAGCCACTAGGCGATTGTTTAGCTAAAATTAGCATTAAATTCCCTCTCTTAAATGCAAATTGGCTGGTCATTGTAAATTTTAAACTCAAGGAACTCGGCAGGAAATGACGTTTTCCTACAAATGGACTTCAGATTCGGAATCAGCGAATATTTTTACCCTAAAAAAACCCCTGACCCTTTGCTTAGTAAACCACTGCACTAATCACTCGATCACCGGAACATCTTAACCGGAACGTCTTAACCGGAACGTCTCAACCAGAAAGTCTCAACCGGAGCCTCTCAACCGGAACGTCTTAACCGGAACGTCTCAACCAGAAAGTCTCAACCGGAACCTCTCAACCGGAAGATCTCGACCGGAACATCTCAACCGGAACATCTCAACCAGAAAGTCTCAACCGGAACCTCTCAACCGGAAGATCTCGACCGGAACATCTCAACCGGAACATCTCAACCAGAAAGTCTCAACCGGAACATCTCAACCGGAACCTCTCAACCGGAACCTCTCAACCGGAACCTCTCAACCGGAACCTCTCAACCGGAACCTCTCAACCGGAAGATCTCGACCGGAACATCTCAACCGGAACACCTCAACCAGAAAGTCTCAACCGGAACCTCTCAACCGGAACCTCTCAACCGGAACCTCTCAACCGGAACATCTCAACCAGAAAGTCTCAACCAGATCTTCCAAAGCCCCTTAAGACTGTATAAGCAAAAACTTCTAACCCAGTTTTAGTGTGTTTATAGTTCTCAGCTAGTTTTTACATCATTCGACTCGTCTTTTCAGGCTCTACGGGAGTCCGAGTGCTTGGATTCCGCCGCGTAATCCAACCGTTTCATTGTCACTCGCTCTCCCCTTTACGGATTTGAAAAGGGAACAGCTATATATTGAAGATGTTTGCCAGATGGAGAGCGATGATGCGGCTGCACAAAGAACACTTCTCCAATCGTTTACATAGGGATTTCTCTTACATAGGGCCTCGGTGAACGACGCGTTTAGAAAGTTGGTGTTTTCTTTAACTATAGAAAGGCGAAAAGCTACTGAAAAGTGACAGTGTAAGCCTAATTTAGGCCGTAGAAACCGAAAAACATGGTTTCAAGACGATTTAAGCCCTCTATTAGCACGAAAAACGCGTTTTTTGAGAAGCCAGAAATACACACCTTCCCTTGCATGCCCTGAAATTCGTCAAAAATTAAATTCAATTAAAAAAACAAATATGCCATCTTAAAGAGCACATTTCAAGCTTTCAGAATCACTATAACACTAATAGGTGGCAGTGGACAATTCTCAAGTTGCGGCGCTTTAAAGTTGAGGTAAAATTCGAGAGTTACATCCGGTCGACGAATCGATTGGGGATATTTATTTTATTGATTCTATCAAATATCGGGATCATTCTGTCCCTGTTCTCCATGGGAATCACTTTTTTTTGATTCTACCAATTAGATTTTCTATTTAATCAATGATCTAATAGATTTTACATCAGTAGATACTCCCTTTTTCGCTCACCTCTCCAACAGCCACGTAAGCGAGATCGCAGAACAGAGTGACGGTGCTGAGATTTGGGTATCGAGCTGAAAACTCGTAGAAATTGTTAGTGATTGATTTCGTACAGATTTAGTACTAAGTTCACTTCTTTCAACGCTTCTTTCAACAGTCTTTTTCCAAAACATGTCAACTTTTGAAGACTACAATAAGCTACAATCACAATCAACATCTACAATCAACAATCAACATCTAGAATCAACAATACAATAATGAAGACTATAATTACGGTTTACGGTAGGCTACAACGACTACGGTAGGCTTACAACGATTACAGTAGGCTTACAAGGATTACGGTAGGCTTACAATGATTACAGTAGGCTTACAATGCTTACAGTAGGCTTACAACGATTACAGTAGGCTTACAACGATTACTGCAGGCTTACAACGATTACGGTAGGCTTACAACGACTACGGTAGGCTTACAACGATTACAGTAGGCTTACAACGATTACGGTAGGCTTACAACGATTACAGTAGGCTTCCAATGATTACAGTAGGTTTACAACGATTACAGCAGGCTTACAACGTTTACAGTAGGCTTACAACGATTACAGTAGGCTTACAATGATTGGCTACAACGATTACAGTGCTCGAGAAAGTTTCCACGTTTTGAAAAACGCATTAATAAAGAGAGACTAATCATCTGGCGCATTTTCCTACCGTAATCTTCTTTCCAGTTTTTATCCATTTTAAAACCAACCATCCTTTGCCATTGCCGAGTAGAGCAATGATCCATGCGAGACTTTTCCGATTGCAGCACACTCAGAAGAGCCGTGTGTGATGCTTGGTCCATCTGCTGCAGCCACATTCAACAAAGAGATACCCCGAGGCTTAGCTGAATACTTTACATTGAAGAATCTTGTCTTGAAGTCAAAAATTTAAGTCCTACAGTACAATGACTGCACTTTGACTTCACTGGATAGTGACTACACTAAGCTACAATCAACAATACAATAATGAAGACTACAATTACGGTTTACGGTAGGCTACAACGACTACGGTAGGCTTAGAACGATTACAGTAGGCTTAGGCTTAGGCTTAGGCTTAGGCACAGTTCAGTCATTGTACTTTTCCCTCCAATCTGTAAACGCACCCTTTCTGGTGCACAGATTTATCATTTTCTTGCAGTAAAAACTCTGGTTTCTCGAGAAAAACGAGGAATTCAGTGCACCAGAAGAAGTGCGTTCAAAAACTTTAGCACAAACGCTGAACAAACGCAAAAACGCAAAAAGTCTAACATACTTTGTGCTCAAATTTCGAAAAGCACCTATTCTGATGCACTTGATTTTCTCGCATCAAGGACTTGATATCAAAAGAAAAGTGGAGACTCCAGTGCAGATTCCAGTGCACCAGAAGGGCTACGTTTACAGGCTCAAGCACAAAGTATACGGCCGCTCACCGCTTTGCTGCACACATCCGCCGAGTGACGCCGGGAACCAGCCTTTCTTCGTGCAAAGGACCTTAATCAATCATCAATCAATCAAATCAATCAAATCAATCAAATCAATAATCAAATTTAGATATCAATTTACATACCGTAAATACTGTAATAGTACCCCAACCCCATAATGACGGTTCCGGAGCGTTGCGTAGTCTAGCTTTGAACGAGTTTTTCTCGACACTGGTTTATGCTATAATGTTCGTTTTGGTTTCAAAAAATAGCTGAAATTCAGGGCTATTTTTTGATACCTAAATGCGCATTGTAGCATAAACCAGTGTCGAGAAAAACTCGTTAAAAGCTAGACTACGCAACACTCCGCACCGTCATTATCGGGGTGGGGTACTATTAGTATTTCTAGATTAGTATTTACGGTATCTATTATTTAATATAGCTTTATTCATACTTGTGTTTGTCCTGTAGCCGAAAAGCCAGAGTCACAAATCGTGTGCGCAGCGGTGCCGAGAGAGAACGCGCCCGAGCCCGGCGTCGAGTAGTGGACCTGTAAGTGGACCTGTAAGTGGACGAGAATTAGATCTGTAAGTCTGTAATCTGAAAGTGATTATGGATCTAATTATCGAGATCTACTCATTATCTAATCTAGATTTAGATTAGATATTGATTAGATTAACTACTGATTAGATTAGATACTGGTTAGATTAGCTAGTGATTAGATTAGCTACTGGTTAGATTAACTACTGCTTAGATTAGCTACTGATTAGATTAGCTACTGATTAGATTAGCTAGTGATTAGAGTAGCTACTGATTAGATTAGCCACTGATTAGATTAGCTACTGGTTAGATTAGCTAGTGATTAGATTAGCTAGTGATTGGATTAGCTACTGATTAGATTAGCTACTGATTAGATTAGATATTGGTTAGATTAGATATTGATTAGATTAGCTACTGATTAGATTAGATACTGATTTTTAAGAATATTATCTAATATTATCTAATATTAATCGAGATTCTTATCAGAAACCTTTCCGTGCTCAACGTCCAGAAGTTTCATGCAATTTTGCTCGGTGCCCGCTGGATGAACGACACTTCCGCCGTCGGACCAGCTAGAATTTAGAATTCATTTTCTAAAACATATTCATTTCCCTGTTGAGGCACTAAACTATTGTAATCTTGTCTTTAAATTTTGAGATAAGATTACGGTGGTTTAGAAAAGGGAACCCTGTGGATAGATTGGATAAATTAGAGACAGGATTACGGTAGTTTTCGGCTAGATATCGCCTAGACGCCTAGTTAGACTCCTTACCCGAAACAAGAGAACGTTAAATCTCGGGTCATCCCCGGGAAACGAGCTGACGGATCCAACGAGTAGGCGAAGGCTGAAAACACCTCTGAATCACTTGTACCTTTAGCAAACTGTGCTCTTGTAAAAGCAATCCTTCTAAACTTCTGCACTTCGTACTGAATTCTTCAGTTTTCTCCTTCAGTTTTCAGGAACAACTTGAGGAATTCAGTGCGCCAGAAAGAGTGGGTTTACAGATTTGACCCCAATGAGCATACTCGTATGCTGAAATTACTTGTATCTTTTCCGTTTCCTTGGAAATATTTGAAAATTGGCACATCGGCCCCGCATGCGCCCAGGGTTCGCCCGCAGAAGAGATTATCGTGAAGATCTGGAAGTGTTGTTTTGTATTTTATAATACTAAAAAGTTAAGGAACTGGTTAATTTAAGCGTAAAGATTTACCGCTACAATGGCAACGATAAAGGTAATGTAACGGGAAAGGATACTGTAAAGGCAAACACTAAACGATGCCTGTAATGGAACTGCTTCAAGAACTGCCTCACGATCTGCTTTACGAACTGCTTCACGAATTGCTTTGCAAACTGCTTCAAGAACTGCTTCACGAACTGCTTTACAAACTGCTTCAAGAACTGCTTCAAGAACTGCTTCAAGAACTGCCTCCCGATCTGCTTCACGAACTACTTTACGAACTACCCCACGATCTGCTTTACGAACTGCCCCATAAGCTGCTCTACGAACTGCTTTACGAACTGCTTCACGAACTACCCCACAAACCGCCCACTATTATTATTATTATTCACCTGTAACGGTACTGCAACTAAACTAATTACCATATCTACAAGCTTATACAGTTAGATTGCTTAGAATTTAAAACCAATAATCTCCACTTACCCGTAAATCCATACGGTGCTCCTAAAATGTTCTCCAAATGATTGATTTGCCCGTCGTCGCGTTGATTGGTGCCGATCTTCGCCGAACATCCATTCACACAACCGCCCGCACTTCGCGCCATTAATACGACGAAATTGTCACGATCTTTTGGGCTAAACATTTGATAGAATAAGCTATAGTAATGGATGTATTTAACCCTATCTTGGTCTGTGCTAGTCTTTATGGCCTTTATGGCAATCCAGGGCCAAACCAGGCAATCCAGGACCAAACCAGGCAATCCAGGACCTGAATTCTAGCCTGATCTGGCCTGTAAGTTGACATTAATATCGCATTGATGTTAGACAGGGTTAGGCGGATGTTAGACAGGGTTTTTTATCCCCAGTTTTCTACAGTAGTTTAATCTTATTGATAGTTATACTAGCAGGTATACTAGCAGGTATACTGTAACTACTGAATGGCTTTTTTTCTATCCCACCAACCTTCTCACATATCCTTTATCCGTGAGATCTTCATCCGAGATTCGATAAACATCTCCAGTCCCATCTCCAGTCCCATTTCCATCTTTTAACCAAACCGATACGGCAGCTTAAAATCGATTTATTCAAAGGAAAGTATTTAATCAAACCGAGATCTTTTGGTGCATCCGATGATGGACAAAGCTGACTGTTGAGCAGAGAAAATTTGGAAAATAGAAGAAATAGTTGAATGAAGTGTTTGAATAACATTCCTTCAAAGCATCAGCTAGCTAAAGTAAAGCATATTGTGTCATATAAAGCATAAAAAAATGTCCTTGACCAGTAAAGTGAGATCTTTTTGTGCATCTGATGATGGAAAAAGCTGATAGCAAAGTAAAAACACTGGGGATACTCCAAAAGTTGGGTTCTTTTTCCCCCATGGTTTGGTTTTTTTTTTTTTTTTATTTTTCTGGATGGGTCGGAGAGGAAGTACTTTGGGTTCAACGGTTGAGGCTAGTTTAATGCAAGAGAAGGGGGTGCATGCACGAGTTTGGAGCACGCTCTACCTTCTCGCCACCGTGAACACGTTCCCAAAAACACCTCCAGGCCTGTGTTGCCGTCAAGGGAGATCTTTTTGAAAAAAAAAAAGTAAATTTCTAAGTTAATTATTTAAAAAGAATAGAAATCACCCGGCTAGAGTGATTTGATGGGTTTACAAATTTTTGGAGACACTACAAGGCTTGGAGAAAAACAAGATCGTCACTCATCAGACACCTCAGCTAAAAGGCACCTATTTGAGAAAACTAAGCGAAAAAGCGGCACCCCAACTGGATGATTCCAAATTATTCGAACTCAATACCAACGACCATCGGGTATCATGAATTAGGAGAAGAGTTAAGGGTTGATCATGTTACAGTGCTAATCACCTTCATACCCTTGGATTTAAATAGAAACTTCGGACTTGGGTGCCTCATGACCTCACTGACCCCAGAAGTGGCAGCGCGCCTCCATCAGTGCCGCTCATCTCTCACGATACGAAAGAAAATCCTTCCTTCTTCGAATTGTGACAGGAGATCAAATGGGTTTTATCTGTGAACTTTCGGAGGAAGCGGCAATGGATGGGGCCAGGCGAGAAACCCGAAAGTGACCTTAGGCCCGATTTGCACCAGAAGAAGCTCTGCGTTTTCGGGGATATGGAGGGAGTGGTGGACTGGGAATTGCTGGATAGCAAGACGACCGTTAACGCAACCAAATAGTGAACAGTTAGGAAAGGTGAATGAATCCCGGAAGAAGAATAGGCCCTTCAAGTCAAAGATCGTTCTCCTCCACGACAACGCGCGTTCTCATGTTGCAAAACTGACTCGCTCTAAAATAAACAGCCTTATTTGGGAGCTTTAGGCGCATTCCCCATAAAGTCCAGCTCCTTTTGATTACTATTTATTCCGGGTCATGAGTAATGAACTTGCGGGAGAACCCTTCAATTCGGAAGAAGCAGTCAAAAATTGGCTTTGAAAGTTTTTCGATTTAAAACCAAAATCCAACTACGAAAGAGGAATCCGCAAATTGCCTGTAAAATGGGCAGAAGTCGTCAATAATAAAGGAAATTATTTGGAATGAATTGATGGTTTTATGTTGAATAAATTTTAGTTCAAAGTCCGGCAGTTTTCAATTGACCAAACCAATATTTTGAAATAAGTAGGCAAATAATAATTTCGAAATAATGTAGGTAAGATATTTTTGGGAAGCGGTGCTCTAGCCCCCCTCGCGCCACCCAATCCTCGATTTTTCTCGCACAATTGACTTCCGGTTGTTGTGAGCGATGTGTTTAACCCCTTTTCCTCACCCCAAAATCATAATAACACTTAGTTGACTATACAATTGCTATGCTAGAACGAAAAAAATGGCTTTAAGAAAGAGTTGAAGTCTTCAAAGTCTTTCAGAGTCTTTCAAAGTCTTTCAAAGTCTTTCAGAGTCTTTCAGAGTCTTTCAGAGTCTTTCAGAGTCTTTCAAAGTCTTTCAGAGTCTTTCAAAGTCTTTCAGAGTCTTTCAAAGTCTTTCAGAGTCTTTCAAAGTCTTTCAAAACCAATTTTTCTTACGTAAAAGCAACCCTGGCCATTTTGCTGGATTAAAACTGAAAAATTCTAAATCTGAAAATGGATTTTAATACTATATTATATTAAAGAATCTATCTGAAACTTTAGAATTAAAATTTTCGAAATTTGAAAGCCAAAAGCAGTTGTAAAATTTCAAAATTTCAAAAAAGTTTTCAAGAGATTTGGGGAGCTTTTTTTTGATGAAAACAAGTTTTTTTGCATTTTTTTGGGGGTTTTCTATTCATGTCTATTTCGATAATGAGCTCTTGTTTGGCGTACGGTAATCCGGGGGAAATCTCTAGAGTTTACCCGGGGATTTTTTTGGCTGTTTGCTGTTTTTTGGCAGTGATTCAGTTGGATTTCGATTTTCAACCAATCTCATGTGAAAAAGTATAGCAAATCCTATTCAAAAAAGTCGCAAAAAGCTTGGGTTCTCTTTTATCATTTAGAATTTATCATTTAGATATTTACAAGTGTTTCATCCATCATCGGGTAGTCATTATTATATAGATACTTTATTCAGAACCTGAGATAAAGTGCGCTAGATTTAGATCTAGATTTAAAAATTAAAGAAAGTGCGCTAGATTTAAAGATTAAAGAAAGTGCTCTAGATTAAAACACATGAATTCATGCACAAAACACGAAAAGGGCCGATAAAAAGGCGATAAAAGCAACACGATATAATAGTTGTAATAGATGGGTAGCACAGAAAACGTCAAGGATCCACTAGAGCTTCAAGCTTCAAGATCATCTACAGATAATTTAAAGGTTTCGAGACTATTGGACTCTCTCAAAACTCTGGGGAGACAACGTCAAGGATCTACTACAGGGTGCGTCATAATTATTGCAGCAAGAGTTCAAAGACGTTCAAAGTTTTAAAGAAGAATGTGATGTCATGGGCGTGTAAAGCCAATAACAATCAAAAATGGACCTTCACGCAAGATGGAGCTCCCGCTCAGACGACTCAGGATTCAGAAGACGGTTCAGGACTGGTGTGTCGCCAACTTTCCCTCAGTGATCACAAAGGATGAATGGCCTCCAAACTCACCGGATCTCAATGTGATGGACTTTTCCATTTGGGCAATCTTAGAGGCTAATGTCTGCTCTCGAAAACACACAAGTTTGGATTGTTTGAAGAAGTCTTTGACCAAAGGATGAAAGGCGATTCGGGCTCAAGATGACATTCGGGCCGCAGTGGAGGCATATCCGAACCGATTAAGGGCTGTTATCAAGGCAAAAGGCGGTCATATCGAATGATCTCTTGTTTCCTTATTTGTTACTGTTAGATAAAGCTATTACTGTTTAAAAATCTTCTTCCAGTGAAACTTCTTGGTGTGCAATGCCTTGAGTATCTTGTTGCAATAATTATGACGCACCCTGTAGAGCTTCAAGAGCAAGATCACTTACAGATGATCAACATCATCAACAGATGATCAACATCATCTACAGTTAAAAGCATTCATCCCGACCCTCTTTTTTTCCTGGTCTCTTTGAATTCGGCTCTCTACGGGGCGCCTCGAGTAGCGGGCATTTTCTCATACGCGAACCTTTCCGTTTCCAACCGCTAACCTTCCGGGTAGCACAAATAACGTCAAGGATCCACTCCACTAGAGATCTACTAGAGCTTCAAGCTTCAATATCAAGATCATCTACAGATAATTTAAAGGCTCCGAGACTATTGAACTCTCTCAAAACTGGACTCTCTCAAAACTGGACTCTCTCAAAAAGGGAGTCAATTCCAAATTCTAGCAGTTCTTATTGGAAAAGAGTTATAAACAAACTTATTGGAGGAATTTCACAAACTGGAATTTCACAAACTGGAATTTCACACACTGGAATTTCTAAAACGAAAGAACCTCTCCTTGAACTAACCGTGGGATTAACTTTGAATAAATCTCGAAAAAGAGGGATAGGTTGCCTGCCCTTTACAATTTTGAAACATTCTATTAAATCTGTGACCAAGCGGCGGTGTCTAAGAGATTAAAGATCAAAAATTTTGAGTCTATCTTTGTAACTAAAGTATGCAAATTTGGAAAAATCTATCTAAAAATCTATCTAAAAATCGATTTTCCATAGAGCTACCTTGGTATATCTCTGCTGGATTTTTTTTCTAGGCGAGCGATATCAACTTGTGAATGTGGAGACCAAACTATAGATGCATACTCTAGAATGGGTCTAACGTACAGTACTGGACAATGAAATATCATATTTGAAAAACGATCGTCACTTTCGCGCGCCTGTAACTTTTGTAGATGGTATAAGAAGAAGCTATTCAATCGTAAATTTGTACCCAGGGGGTTTTCGGGAGCGGGGAATCGATTGTCTTGTATTGTAGCTAGAATTTACTGTACCAGACTTACTGTACCAGGTATGCTATGCCCTAGCTACAGTAGCTAGGGCCTACTGTAGCGCAGGTTAACTGTAGTTAGGATTACTATACTCTGGTATAGCTAGGATTGATGTAGCTATGATTACTGTAGCTAGGACTACTGTAGCTAGGATTACAGTAGCTAGGATTACTGTAGCTAGAGCATGAAGTATTTGTGAAAATATAGAGATCAAATGGTTGACTCTAATCAAAAAGAAGCAAAGAAAGTAATCTTCAGAAAGCAGAAAAGTTTCCTTTTTTTCGATATCTAGATGAGTGACCTAGATGGGGGGAGAGGTTGAACAAAAAAGGCGCAAAAGAAATTGGAAAAAGGATAGGGAAACTGGTAGGGAAAGGGGGCGGAAAGGGGAAGGGATTGACCGACAAACGTCTACCAGATAAACATGCGAATAGAAATGGAATAAAGAATGTGAAAATTAAACAAATTGTCTTGTCATTGTCATTCTTGTCATTGTCATTCTCGTCAATTTCTTTTACACAATTGCTTTTCCAAATCCATCTCGACAACAGCTTTCGATCTCTTTGCTCGTAAAGGGATTTGGTTTGATGGGAATTTGAAACGGATATTGGGAGGAAACATTGCTCAAAACTTTCATTTCAATGAAGATTTAAAATAAGAGGAAAAATCTGGAAAGAACTTTGTTTAAACGAACTTTGTTTAAGAATGTCATTTACCGTAAACTTGTCTTGATTTGAGCCAAGGTATTTGTACGTAAAAAGTACTATATCTTCTTGTACTTTCTTGTACTTCTTGTACTTTCTTGTACTTCTTGTACTTTTTGAAGAAG